TCGATCTATCTCCCGTTTAAATACTAATACATGTGAGTAGAAATACTACTCGCGACGGACCCGTCTCAAATTCCCGTCGACTTCGATTTTTACGTGGTAGCTGCCCCGAGGAAAAACGTGCGTGCTGCCCTTCTGGCAAATCCGCTCGCATACGTCGCATACGGGTCCATATAGTTCGATACACCAATTTCGACAAAAAAGAGGGTCACTTGCATTCCTAGCACTCCTTTTTCACCTAGCACGATCAAAGAATCTTGAGAATTGCCGCCTTTGAATAGTGTGTAAACCTACGTAAACCTAGGGGAGATTTTCCCCTATAGTAATCCAATTTTTTATTCATGATTACACACACATTCGTGTATCACATAAGCATGCAGTGCGTGGCCTCATTGATCAATATCTAGCGAGACATTCATATGTTATGCAATTTGTTTCGTTAGCTTTCAAGAATTCGACAACTGTAACGCACTGTAGTGCGTTTCACCCGAGAAATCACTAAAGTACACACGCCTCGTGGCCGTTGATAAAACAAGGTGATAAACCCTCTCGAAAAAATTGTTTTACACAACCCAGTGACATAGAACTTGAGAAAACAGGCCAGCACAAAGTTTGCCTATACCATTACCATAAATCAGAGAGAATATTAGCGGTACACATGTATAATAATTCCACACCTACATGTACACACATACTCTTACACACACACACACACACACACACACACACACACACACACACACACACACACACACACACACACACACACACACACACACACACACACAAAACTATATATTTATGTGTCAGTGTGCAGCGGCAGCCAGCGTTTGTTGCAGATGAGCACTTGGACGGCATTTACAGGAAATTGTCGGCAATCAGAGGTGAAAGAGAGTATAGAAACATTAAGACTTTGGTAGTAAATAGATTTCGTATTTATTTAGCATTATATTTTATTGAAACGCTCCAAGTGCCTGTGCATAAAATAAACACACGCGCGCGTGCGTGCGTGCTCACGGTAACAGTCACATAGTATTGTGTAACAATACCGTACAGTTTGTGCATTCATAGAGCGCATATTTGTCATGGTTCTTGCAAAACTTAATCACAAAAACAATGGCTGTCACCAAATGCTAAACAGGTTCTACGACTAAGTTCGCCGCGCAATATTCAGACAAGTCTGATATCTGCTGCTTTCCCCAACTTGACTTGAATTTTTGGTCAATACATAGGATGGCCGCTTTTTCACTATGGCACACTGAAAATCCATAGATTCTCTTTCGCCTTTAGATATCATCTTCGAAATAGCCGGCAAATAGGCCAAAGTATTTATTAACTGTCTGTCTCTCTCTTTCTTTCTCTCTCTTCTGTTAAGGCCTATTCACACCAGAGCTACACTCATCACGATCGCCCCACGCTCCAAAAATTTGCCCGAGCGTGGTGAGCGTGGTTGAGAGCGTGGCCAATTGAGCCCAGCCGGGCCCTGCGCCGATACTACGATCTAATTACGTCGATACTACGATCTAAGTGCGTCTTTACCCCGATCTCATTGCGCTCAACAAGCTTTCACCACGCTCAACACCACGCCCGCATCACGTTTGCACTGCGCTCACTGCGTCCTTATTGCGACCAATCAGATCGCATTGCGTTCGAACGACGCTTGAACTGCGCCTAAGCAACGCTCACCGCGCCTCAACTGCGCGCCAGTCACGCTCCTAGTGCGACTTAATCACGCTCTAGGCAGGCGCCGACTGCGCTGGCAACGATCATATAAATACCGCGCCGCGTTCTAGACATCATCATTCGTTTTGCCGTGCTGTTCACATCAAGATTATTTTCTACTGATTTTATACCCATATAATAGTATAATAGTATGCTACAACTATGCCGCCAAAAGACTTCTATTTCTCCTCCTCATCATCCTCAGCATGATTAGAACTTGGCAATCAAGTAATTCGAGTTGTCCTTCTACGAGAAACATGGCATGGCCATGGCATGGCAGTAGTGTTGCCTCATCCATAGTGGACACTGGTGGGGTGGCCAGGGTATAGCACCCCAATTTATACCCCAAGTTCGCAGGACGTAATCTGAGCGTAACTAACACGTAATGCGAACGCCACAACGGCGTGGTCTGAGCGTGTTGGGCGTAGTACAATCGTAGTACGAACGGGTCGAGCTTGCTAGAGACGCACCATGGTCATAGCGAGAGCGTGGTCAGGTTGCAGAGACATCTCCATGGACGTAGTAACAGCGTGATGAAAACGTATTGACATCGTGCTGAGAACGGGGCGACAATTTTCACGCACCCGTCATGCTTGCGATACGATCATTAAGTTCGTACTACGCTCGAGTTACGTGGGTACTACGCCTTCCACGTCTCTAATACGCCCACACTGCGCTGTCTTTCCGCCACGCTCGCACCACGATTGTTTTGAACATGTTCAAAGTTTGGCCACGCTCTCCACGCTCATGGTGACTGCACCGCGCTCGATCGCGATCGCAGTACGTCCATATACGTTCATACTGCGTTCTACACGTTTCCACCACGCTCTTGGAGCGTAGTACGAGCGTAGTGAGATCGGGGCCCTGGTGTGAATGGTGTATTACGAAAAAATGCAGACCGAAAATGTAGTGTAAATTTCGGTTGTAGTTTCTAGCACACATAATATCACCACAATCAAAGCAGTGTCGCAAAAATGTCACAGCGAAAAATCATAAGACCTGCATGGCCAATATAAGCACCACGGATTTTATCTCCACGCACGTGCAAAAACCTAAGAAATCCGCACGCCTCGCAGGCACGTCAACTTCGGCAATTTACTGCCGGTAGTAGAACTGCCCGACAATAGCCTAGAATAATGGGATGGGAATCCTGCGAACCAGTTACCGCTTCTGATAACTTCACGCCAGTCGACCAGTGAATTACTCATCACTCGTCAGATTCCAGAGAAAGAAAACATTTCATCACTCGTCAAAATCCGATGAAAAAAAAATAGTCACCGAATAAATTGCCGCCAGCCAATTAATTACGGCTAGAAAAACGCATGTTATTTAAAAACTGACAAAAGCACATAGTGGTTGCACTGCTGCCATTAGTAAGCATTTCACGTTTTTTTGCATTTATGTTCGGAAGCATGCTTAACCAGCGCATGCACTGAATACTGAATGAAACCATTATTCCCCAACAGCTCCTTCTCTTAAATACAGCAGGGGAATATATATATATACACCGGGTAATGCAGTGAAATGTTTACAGTGGCATTCATTTTTTGTCCATTTGTAAAAGTACGCCTCTGCATAATGATATAAGAAATAAATGCATCAAACGCATGCAGACGTTATTGACCGGCACATTAGAGCAGCAGTCGATGCATCTAAAATAACTTAAAATAAGTGCTTGAAATATTTAAATTAATTAACAAAAACATAAACGACAAAAATATGTCACACACACACACATAATTACGAAATAAATTATGGCAACTTATAACAGAAGCATCAGTGATTATTAGCAACAATAGCTAATATTATCCCGAATTCTATAGCTGAAAGCACTGCAGTTTCTGACAGCTCTGTAACAACAACTGCAGCAAAATTAAAGTCGCCTACTAGTGCCATCGACCCAAAGACAAATGAAATTATATAGAATCGAAAGAGTTGATTGGTACACAGTGAAATACTTCCCCCTTACGCAAGATCCACTCCTGCTATATTTCATTATGACCGAACATGGTTTTATCAGAAGGACATTATAACCTCTTGTGACCTCCTGGTTTTAAGCCTCACACATCTACGATGGCACCTGGTATTTTCGACTAGCACATTTGCTGCCTGCAGGAACGTACAGAGCAATCATCATGCTGCTCCCCGCCACCCTTAATACTGTTTTAAAGCAACAAGACAAGCGCATGCATCCAACAAACTAGACAATTACGTATTCGCCTTGCACGTCTGTTCCCTCGTACGTCTGTCCATTTGTTTCCCTCGTATCGTTCAACCGGAGACGACGTCGCTGCCGACGACGCTCGACCACCGGCGCCCTCTAGTGGCCGCTCGTGCCCGGCTGCACCCAGCCCCCAAAGCCTCGCTCGATCTCCGCGGCAACGGCGAGGGTCAGGTGGTCATTGTGCTGAGCGCCAACGACCTGCACGCCGATGGGGAGGCCCTCGCCGCCAACCCCCAGGGGGCACTGCGTGACGGGGACGCCGAGAACGTTGAATATGGCCGTGTAGGCGAAGTTGTACATGACGAAGAGCGGCTGGTTATGGTAGACGGCCGGCAGCGGATGGGGCGGGTACAGCAGCACGCCGTTGTTACCTGCAGGCAGACACGCGTCGTGAAAATCATCGCTGGCCGGGGGAAACGAGGACAACGCGTTTTACGCATCGATAAAAAAGTGGAATAGAAAATAAGCTAGAAAATGTGGACCAAGCGTGAGTTTCTCGAAATTGCTTGAAAATTTATTTCAGAGAAAAACTTAATTTTTACATTTTCACTTAACTACGTGACGTTATTCTATCGATGTTAATAATATTTTTATCGTTTAATTTAATCGCAGACGTAACGATTGTCACGTGTCAGAGTTCGGCGACCCTCACCCAACATGTCGCTCAGCTCGTTCTTTAGACTGGCGCACATTGCGATCGCCTTCTCATCGACCAGTGCCAGGTTCTCCATGAGACCGAGTCCGATGGCTGGCAGCGTGTGACTAGAGGAGCACATGAGCCACTTGAACAGCTCGAGGGTACAGCTGACAGGGCGGCGCTCCTCGGGCAACATGTACCCTGACAACTCCTGAAAAGCAGCAAGCGCCGGGCGTGAGCGATAGTGTGAGTGAGTTTGCGGAGCGAGAGAGAAAGAGAGAAAGAGACAGAGTGAGTAATTAGAGTGAAAGAGAGGGCGAGAGAGAGAGAGAGAGAGAGAGAGAGAGAGAGAGAGGGAGAGAAAGAGGGGGGAGAGTGATTAGAGTGAGAGAGAGAGAAAGAGAGAAAGAGAGAGAGAGAGTAATTAGAGAGAGAGAGAGAGAGAGAGAGAGAGAGAGAGAGATGTGATAGAAGGAGACAGAAATAGTGAAAGAAACATGCCGAGGAAAAGACAGATAAGGCAAACAAAAAGTGCCATTGTGACTCCAGCAATAATGCTTCTTCATATAATCAGACAAACCTGTGCAAACGAGGGGCTATCACTAGAAGCCATCATGGCTGACCAAATCTGCAGTGAATACTTCATCAGCTTCAGGTTGACTCTCTTCACTGTGCATCCGATCTCATTCTCAAAGTAATCAGCTACCTGAAAATCACAAACATCCAAGTTGCCATTGTCAATGCTTCTGCTACTCTCTCTCATTGCTTTCGGTTTTGACGTTTTGGGTCACTGTTATTGTTGCTGTTGCTGCTGTGTGTGCCACTGTAGCTTATATTATTAATATTTATTCATTTATGCAACAATATTGCTCTTGTTTGTTGTTTTTATTGTTGTTGTTGTTGTTGTTGCTGCTATTGCTGTTTTGTTTTTCTTGTTGTTGCTATTGATGTTGTTGTTGTTGTTGTTGTTGTTTTTGTTTTTGTTGATCTCATTGCCACCATCATAATCAGACATTGCAATCAGCATTGCTTTTGTTGACCTTTTTATCAATGTTATAACTGATATTGCCACTGTAGTGATATACAACAGTAACAACGATACAGCAATTTAATCACTTTTACACAGCTATGCAAAAATAGCGTTATCGTTTCAGTGTTTTCTTATAACAGGCTTATGCCGCCATCCAAACTGAGAATGTGAAATGAGCTTATTCTCACACACAGACTGTGTAAATAATTAATGACAGGAAATTTGCTAATGCATGTATGCATAAATTTAATAAGCTTTCACAGATATTTTCCAAGTTTTTTTTTAGATTTTTGATTTCTTCGACAGGGTTACAAAATAAAAACGAGTAGACAAGTGTCTACTAAAACGATGTCAATTTCCTTTCTGTGTTTACAGACAATTGCGAAACAATATTTCAGCGTAAACTTTCTAGCACATGCCAAAAAGTCGTTTCCAAGAAATAGCCCCTCTGAGTGTCTCATGGGAATACTGATACAATCAATGCATGTAATTTCGTTAAAGGTGCCATCCCAGTAAAACCAGCCCATCACAATTAAAATCTGGACAAAGGTGGACTGTTTATAATTTTAAGGTCCATTTATACTTGCCCATACACGTATAACAGATATATAACACAGTTTTGGATTACATTTATTCTCAGCACTATAGCAAGTATAACCTGCAGGACGTAAATTATTAATGGCATTATATATTTGCCGCTTTTAAATTTTCCCGGACAAGTGTCGCAGTGGCATCAATTTGAATTAAATGAGCTTACCACTGTTATTTGAAACTGCACATTTATATGCAAATTTTAAGTATATATATCCTTTAAAGTAGTATGGGCATGCTACTCATTTTTACTGTCCCTCTTTCACAGCTAAAACACTCACTTGCATTTCACTCTATTATTTATGTGGATGTAACTATAATTTGTAAAAATTCATTTGATAAAATCATTCGCAAAATATTAATGTGGGGAAAAACATTTCAGAAGTACTACAGGACTGAGCTAGCACTGAATTTTGAGCAAGCTACTGCTACGACTGCCAGTATTATGACTATGATACACAGTCTCTCACTAGTAAACATTCAGAACGATTAGGAAATGAAAAGTAACACGTTTACTAACCCTCTTCTGTGCTGCCTTGATCTCGGGATGCACAGGACTGACTACAGGGCATCCACCATCATCCTCCATCGTGTAAATGGTAAGTGATTTGAGATCTACCTGCCGGGTAAACAAGTGTAAACAACTTACCTCTGCTTTACTGCCTAATACACCACACATAACATTACAACTATGAAACATGCAAAACCACATGCGTATTTGCAGAGTTCGATCGTAATTTGATACTCAGCGTATCACACTAGTTTGTACCACCGCAGAAACAATAGATATTCTAAATGTCTGGTGGCATATGTAAGCGTGATTGTACACTTGTTGCATAGCACGCGGACATACCTTGGAATCAAGCTGTAGCCTTGAAAGGCCACTGGGTCCTGCCATCACCTTTAACATGGGTACAAGGTCAGCAGCATATCGACACATTGGCCCCGTGACGAGGAAATGAACCATCTTGTCTGTAGCCTGGGGAAATTGCCCTCCATTCGAAACAATCCCTGAAGAAAATAGGAAAATAGGTCGCGCCATAAACATAATATCCTGTTCAAACAAAGTTTCCTTAAGCGAGGTGAAAATTAATGCCGTCGCTGCCAGTGCAATCAATCATGACAGTGTTGTCTAGATTGACTCTGCGTAGAATCAATCAATGAACAGTAAAAAACTTTAATAATTGAAAGCTCGTAATTAATTGCAAACAATAATGGCAGTCGAGAATAACAGGTGAAGATGAAGCCAAATCACATCGTGGCGTGACGAGAATAGGTCAAAATAGACGTGCAAACAGTTATTAACCATAACAACACACAGCCTAGTTACAAACATAAAAGTGAATTATGGCACACAATTTCTTCACCAAGTAAACACATGTGACATATAAAAATGTTTAATCAATTCAATGCCCTCTACCCACTATTCATCATGATTACAATGTGATAGCGGAGAAAATCAGAGGTCAAAAGGACAGACTTTCAGCTCAACAAAACACGGATTTTCACTGCTCAAGCAAATTTCTTAAAATAAAATGATCATATATGACAACTGCCAATTTAGTTCTTATTCTTAACCTCCATATTCAATGTAAGAACATTTTCCTTCTTTGATAACACATTTCAGTCATAAATCATAGATGCTATTGGTTCTTTACCTATTCAGATATTCCAAACAAGATATCAAAGGTTAGCTCCTCTCTTAACAGTTGAAAGATTGCTCACTATGTATAGTTATTCTGTGCAACTTAAGTTTGCTTCTACTCACTACACAGATTTTTTGGGTCGAAAAAAACTCCATGTTGCCAAAGAATCAGGCAATAATTGTTTGTATGTGTAAATAATAATATGTTAAATCAGGGGTAAATAATATTATTACTAGCATCAACTGTGAGTGGCGTGACAAGCCAAAAAACCAAAGACATTTCCAATCACGATGCACGCAAAGCGTAAACAAATTGCTGTGACATCCTTTGCAGACGTTTGTATGGGATTTGGCCCTAATCCATTGGTAGTTTTTTATTCACATTCTGGTTGTCTTTTTAAGGAATTTACGATATGTGATTTACTCCCTCTATATAGTCTTTGAAACCACCTTTTGCTACACCTCCGTGGAAGCCATTTTACCGTGATATTGATTTTAAGTAAGCAATATGTTTCTATATCATGGCACGTTACATGCTCCAACTACAATGAGGTATTTTTGCAGATATAACACACACGCACACACGCATGCATGCATGCACACACACGCACTCGCACATGCACAGCATTATAACATCTGTAATAGTAAATATCATGTTTTTTTCAATAAAGGCTTAATAACAGGAGCCCATAAGTGTGCAGAAAAGTGTAGCACAATAGGTTTGACATGCCATGCCTTAAGCAATAGGCCTCACTATACCACATCTTAAGCAATACATTAATTTTGCATTTTACTCATTGGCCAATTTTACAGAATGACCAACTTAATGGAGAGTAAAAAAGTAAATGCGAGCCCCTTTGTTCCAACATTAATGATATATGGAAGCAGACTTTTGCTGATTTACTGGCTGGTATCAGAAGGACTATGACAGACAACTAAGAAAGCGCTTACATGGTTAAAGGGACAGTAGCCTCTAGGATTTTACTGCATACAACTGTACTTACTGTATAACAAATCGTCTATATCCACATGTATTTGTCAGCAGATACTTAATTAATTATTTACACATCAACAGCTCACGAACAACTTTGACGGCGCCCAATGACACCCGACGCGTGCTGAGCCACCGCTGAATAAAGTTGCGTAATTTGTATTTTTTATTTTGCAGGTAAAATGACGCGAGGGTAATCAGCAAAAGTGCAATTATTTATACATAAATGCTATATTAGACCATAACGAGTTATGTCATTTAGGGCAAATTTATCCATAATACTGAAACTATAGTGCTTTATAATGATATTACAATCTTTATGCTCTTTAAATGAATAAATAAAGAAATACCTCGATCTTGCACGCCTTGGCTGGAAAGTGGCTTTTGCGCAACTTCTCAGATCTGTGTCTGTTGAGTGGCGCCACCGTCGTTGTAATCAAACTTGTAGTCGTTAATTTAAACATTTTTTTTAATAATTCGCTAATGGTGATTGAACCATAATTTTTATAGTAGCGCCATATTATAACTAATTTAGTTCTGTAATAATAACCAGAAACCTAGAGGCTACATTTTCCTTTAACTACTTGAATAGTTCCACCGTTGCTCACCTCAGTGCAAGTAATGTGCCAACAGCCACAACCGCTAGTAGGTTTGCCTAAAGATTCCATTGAAAGATAACGCTGGCAATCGATGCTCCCGCCTACATCCGAGCAATACGACAACGATCCAGCAGCCGACAGAATACATCCTCACCAACCTAAGCATGAAATCATTGTTTCAAAACCTCGATATCATACAAGGTCCAACTCCCCACCTCACTAGACTATGACTGTTAACAACGAGTAATTAAACACAATTCCGTTCAAGAGTGAGAGTGAGAGGAGATGGAGAGAGAAAGTTCGAGAATAAACCCGAACAAATCATACTCTTGCAAGCACACCTTACTCACAAGAGAAATAATTACATGGCGATCGTATTGATCCGATTCGATCGGCGCCGTAAAATCCGAGCGTATGGATTTTGCGTCACCTGAGGCGCTCCCACGATCCTGGTCTGTCGTAGCGATTGTTTGTGCGTCGTTACACGACGTTGCTCGGACTTCCCCACCACATGTCACAGTCACTGCATGCTGTAAGGCCGATTGGAAGGCGCCCCTCCCTCAACGCGCTGCAGCGCGTCGGCATCCTGTGTTCGAGGAAAGTGTCGCGGCGATCCCACAGCCCGCAGAATGTCGGCATGCTAAAACGTATCATACCAAAGACAGAACTCCTACTGAAGTGGCGCAGGTCAAGCTCTTTTTTCCTCCTTACAGATATCCTAAATTATATGAGCGCAGTGGGTTTTACGGCAAGGTATGCTGATTACGATTTGTACTGCGGATACACCGTGGTTCGTAAGAATATTCCACATTCACATTCATGCATGAGCATGGCCCGTAGGCTTTAGACAAAATTTACATTGATTTTCCCTTTGATGATGTAGTAATCTTCAACAAACAATGGTGCACAACTCTTTTCAATACCTTGTGTATAATATGCGTTATATCCGTGGCTTCGTGAAGACTCTTAAATAATATTATGTAAAATATTAAACGATGATAATGAAGATAGAGTTCAACCAAAATTTTTTCTCATTAATTTTTCATGTTTCTAAGTTCGTTTACCACTAACACACAGTAATTAATGTACCCGTTACACTCATCTTAACTGCTTTATGCGGCAACACATGTTGAGTTATTTCACTTCAAGGTAATAATGACGCAATGTTTGTTCCATTATTCTCAACGAAAATCCGCGCACAGGTGAGTAAATATACGCGTTATGCGTCAATTTACGCAACGATAATCGCGCCCGCACCGATGTATATAATGACTCATGGTCATATTTACTTGAGAAAATAAATACCGTGTGCGAGCCGATCTTTAGATTAGAGGCCCCACTCACCTCAGGCCCAGATAACATTGGACAAAAAATAGTTGGGAATCATTTGAACTTTTGAAATATTTCATGTAACATTTATGGATAATTTACGTACACAGTAATGACACTTTTAGCAGACCCCTACTATCATTTGATAGGACCGTCTTATGAGTATGTGGCTGACAATAAACCGACAACTGTTATTCTCAAAACCAATGGGACCCCATATCATGCATTACAACATCCACAAACACAGTTGTGACGCATGTCTTATACAGTGTTATACTTATTCATCATAACTACTTATACATATTGTCTTTAATCATTCAGTTTGTTCATTCAGGCACATTATTGTCCCCAACTATTGCTTGAATACTCCCAAGTAGTTAACTTAATAGTTAACAGTTATGGAATATTTCATGTTTCATCAACCTATTTCATGGCGAATGTCTTCCTTGAGTGAACGGCGCCACCCAAGAGAAACGGTGCTTTCTCTTGCGTCGTGTATCGCTGTGTCCGTCTCTGCATCCAAATGGCATCGACCATCTAGGTGCTGTATCGCCGACGTTACCTCGCTTATTACGGCATTTATGGATGGAGTTCACCTTCATGTTGCTTCGACGAACAGCTGCCATGACGTAACATCGCAGCCTACTATCACGAAAGAGCTTTTCAAAACTAGCAGCAAATGGGAAACTTCACTTGAAATCTTCTCTTAAAATCTGGTCAGCTTTATTAAACAAGTGCCGAGAGCGACAGCGTCATCTATAGGTCTACTGCGGTGACTCTGTTGGTGGAGTTGTTGGATTCTAGTAAAACCTGTTAGTCTCAAATTGTTGTTCACATACACTCCGAATACAGTGGTTGGAAGCACTAGGATTACGATGGGTATCCATTTACCTAAGCTAAGTCGCTAACAGGCTGCACAATAGAGGAGCTGCAACCGTGTACAATTGAAAGCAAAAACTCCACAGTGACCCAACAAATGCGAGTGTGGTCAGTAGCATAATCTGGCCAGTTGCATAGTTACATGTTAACATGTATGACAGTACGAGAAAGCCATATAAATTATACGATTTATAGGAGGCATAAACCTTCTTTTAACCAAGATTTTTGTAGCTTTTGAAATTTCACCTGTGACATGTTTAGGCCGTCATTACATCCATGCATGTGTTATAGATTTCTTATAGCATAATGCCGTGCAGTAATTTTTCTAAACAGTGACAGTTACAATCATGTTTAACCGTCTCTTGGATGGGTCAAATGTTATCTGACACTTACTCTTGCATGTCAGCAGAAAGTTAAGTATTTCATGTCCTTTCAAATATTGCCATATAATAATGCTATGTCACGCTTGAACCAAAAAAGTTTTTCAATCTCTCCTGTCATACATTTCCTTAGAAATGAGTGTCCTAAATATTGCCTGTGACATTGACCTTGATTGTGGACTGTGACGTCCAATGTTTCGGCAGTGATGCTTTGCCCTACCATGATGTTAATATCACCATATATCACGAGCCTAGGATCGAGCCGTTTAGATTGTGCTGCAATTCTGATTTCCTCCTATACTTAGTTAAGGAGTAATGTTCCCCTTCTTTTACACCTCTTGACCTTTACTTGACCCAGCTTCACAGCCCAACTCGTTTTGTACGTCCCACCCAATGTGTCGAATTATCGTGACCGTACGGTCGAGGTCGGTTAAATATTGCTGCCCAAACTGTTTGACGGACGCTCGGAGTAACACGGCAAGGACGCTAACGAAAGTTGACGTGATACGATCGTGCGATTCTACAAGCTGCATCTGACTATGTCAGATGAGCTAAAAAAAACCACAATCCTTAACATGGTATACGAGTAACAGAAAGATTTAGTAGATGATTCAAATTAATTGACTTTTGGATTTACTAAACTTTCTGTATTTAGCACTATGTCAATGTTGAATGTATCAAGCCAAGCCTGCTGGAGGGGTATGGTAAAGGCCCATATGCACCTCATAAAGCAATGGGCCTAATTTGGCATAAATGAGTTTAGTTCTACAGAGGTGTAGTCCTTCGCTCAGCAACGGGGCTACTATACAACAAAGTATAAAGAAACTCAGTGAGGAATCTTTGCAACATAGTATGCTACACTGTAGCCCACAGTTAAATAAAATTTAAAAAAAGTGAGAAAACAAAAGTGCTGGCTTTAGCTCGCCACTCTAATCATAACTCAAATCAACGTCCGAGCAAAACAATTCGTGTACTAATCAGTGTCGTATGAAAAATCAGATTATTACTGCAAACATGTTTGCGTCTAATATAAGAACTGTCACTAACCAGGAGACTATTAGATATGACAGACTGTCTAAGTGGCCAATCATTATTCGCTAGTGGTGCTGCTATTTTCACATGTAGCTTCAATGGTGCAATCGTGAGAATATTTCCATTGGATAAATGGTCAAATTTTGCCAAATTATGAAATTCTGATTAGAGTGGTGGTATAAGACCACCGCTGATGATTTGCTGGCTAGTGTATTATTTATCATATAATGGCTACAGCATAGCCAACCATGTTGCAAGGATTCCTCACCGGGTTTCTTATCAATTTGCTGTATAACCCTGTGGGAGTGGGAATGGCTACATGTCAGATGTTTAGAATTATTCTGAGCCTCTCATATACAGACTTGGATGAGAAAAACACAGACCCACCTCACGCTTCCTGATTCTTCGTGCCAGCTCAATGGCCGGTAACAGAAGAAGCTCATTGTTGACAGGGTTCAGTTGCTGCTTCGGCGTGTTTTGATAGATGAAACTGAAGATGTAACCGGAGCAATGCTCGCAGAGAAACCTTGAGATGTAGGCGACATACTTCAGTATCGTTCGCCATAGTAGAATTATGGCCGATCTTTCTGTGGGCTTTCTTTCAGTCATGGCTGCTTGGAGTCAAGGAAATCAGTTGTTATTCCGGACAGCACTAAATGACTATCAAAAAAGGGGACAATGTACACGTGATTTAGCATTATTTATTTATTATAAATATAAGTTATTATAATAACTGAACATGTGTCCCACATTCGGCAGTTGCAACCTGGCATGTTGCACCACATACCAGTTATAACTTATATTGCTTTCTGGCTATTTTTACACATAAAGACAATGAGAAACCAATTAATCTATCAGCACAGTCTGGGTGTAGTCAAGAATACAACTTCTTTAATAGGTATAGGCACAGGCTGTAGGATTACGTCCATCCCATACCCACACATGAAGTAAATTGTTACATACATTGTGTACACATTGGGCATATCATTGTAACGTGATCTATCACCCACTGTCGTAGCTCTAGAACTATAGCGGCTCCCTTCGCTCTGCCACACGCCTGTCGTAGAGCGAAGGGCAATAGTGCTAGAGCTACCAATGGCCATACTTTTCAATATACATACCGGGGACTACACATCGCCTAACTTGTGAAGAACTGCTCATTCTCACTTCACATAAACTTAGACAATTTATCTAATTATAATTTATATTGCAATAAAGTTAATAACTAATCTAGTAATTGCAATTATATATAAAACATTGTCCCTCGTAATCACTATTCAGGGTGTGAAGTTTCAATTTGATCATCAGTTAAAAAATATTGTGTGTGAAAATAGTCGTCTTCTTTCCCATATAATTTCACTCCTCTTCAATGCTCTAGGTACTGGTTTATTCCTGGTTGGCCTACTCCCATTTCGCCTACGGCAAAATTCTCATTTCGCCTACAGCAAAATTCCCAGTTGGCCTACACCAATTTCGCCTACTCCCAATTCGTCTACGCTCAAAATCTACCCCATTCCCATTTCGTCTACGATCGGTTTGTTCACTAAATAATCATTTTATTTTATAAATAATAAAATATGGTTTTGATTGGCATACATAGACTACGTACAGGAACCAGAAGAAAATATAGGTACAAATAATGAGAACACAACTCGACAAAAATAGAAAATACAGTAGCATAATGGGAGTAGGCGAAATGGGAATATTGCCGATTCTGAGAGTAGACGAAATGGGAGTAGGCGAAATGTGACGTAGGCGAAATATGTGTAGGCGAAATGGGAGTAGGCCAACTGGAATGTTACCGCTCTACTCACGCTTTCGCGCGGTTGTTGGGGGAGGCGGAACGTGCGAGCCAGTGATGAGCAATTGATGTGAAGGGATGTGCAAATCTGTAACAGTTTGGCGACATGTCACATGATGTGGCCTATAATAGTGAGTAGTGCCTACACTACGAGGTTTCAATGATCACAGAACTTGACATTGCTACAAAGCTCTCACATTTGATTTTTAATGTAAGCACCATTGAACCTTGCCTTGGTCAGTGGTCAAGACAATTAGTCATTCTGACTATAGTAAAGGCCTGCGGCAGTTAATCGAACGCGGGCTATAGTACTAGAGCTAACTAGGGTTGAGAGGGTCTATGTCCCCCGGGGTACTGCCGGAACGTACCCTGGTACTATCTTATATGCCGGACCGTACCTCGCCTACTCCACTAACGAGTCTAGGGAGTCGCCTACGCCTACTGCCTAACCCTAACCCGAACCCTAACCCTAATCCTAACCTTCGTGCGCTTTGAGTGGCGCCACCGTCGTTGTAATCAAACTGTAGTCGTTAGTTTTAAAACATTTTTTTTAAATATTTCTAATGGTGATTGAACCATGAAACTTTTTATGTAGCGCAATTATAACCTAAATTAGCTGAAAATAACCCTAGAACCTAGAGGCTACTTTTCCTTTAACTACTTGCAATAGTCACGTGCTGCCACCTGCAGTGCAAGTAATGTGCAACAGCCACATACCGCTAGTAGGTTTGTGCCCAAAGATTCCATTGAAGAACGCTGGCATTCGGATGCTCCCGCCTACATCCGAGCCAATACCGACCACGGATCCAGCAGCCGACAGAATACATCCCTCACCACCTAAACAGAAACACTTGTCAAACTCACTATCAACAAGAGTCCAACTCCCCCCACCTCACTAGACTAGACTGTTAACAACGAGTAATTAAAACACACATTCCGCAAGAGTGAGAGTGAGGAGGAGGGAGAGAGAAAGTCGAGAATGAAACCCGAAACAACAACATCTCTTTGCAAAGCAACATTACTCCAAAGAGAAATAACTTCATCGATCGATTGATCGATCGATCGGCGTAAATCCGAGCGTTGGATTTTCGTGCACCTGAGCTGCCTCCCACGATCCTGGTCTGGTCGTAGGCATTGTTTGTGCGTCCGTACACGACGTTGCTCGACTCCCACCACATGCACAGCTCACTGCAGTTGGTAAGGCCGATGGGAATGGCGCCCGCCTCCCTCAACCGCTGCACCGCGTCGGCATCCGTGTTCGAGATAAGGTCGCGGCGATCCCACAGCCCCGCAGAATTCGGCATGCCTAAAACGTATCATACCAAGACAGTGAACTCCTACTGAAGTGGCCAGGTCAAGCTCTTTTTCATCCTTACAGCATATCTAAATATATGAGCCTAGTGGGTTTTACGGCAGGTATGCTGATACATTGTACTGGGATACCACCGTGTGTTTGTACAGAATATTCCACATTCACATTCAGTGGCATGGGCAGGCACCGCTAGGCTTTAGACAAAAATTTACTTGATTTCCCTTGAAGATGTATAATCTTCAACAAACAATGGTGCACAACTCTTTCAAAATACCTTGTGTAACATATAGGGTTATCCGTGGCTTCGGAGCTCTAAATATATTACGTAAAATTTAAACATGATAATGAGAGATAGAGTTCAAACCAAAATTTTTCATTAAATTTCTCATGTTTCTAAGTTCGTACACCAACACACACGTAATACTGCACTCGCGTACACTCACTTAACTGCTTTAAGCCCGGCACACATGTGAGTTATTTCACTCAAGTAAAATGACGCATGAGTCCAATTACTCAACGAAAATCCGCCGCACACGTGAGTAAAATGACTCATGCGTCATTTTACTTGAGTAAAATAACTCACGTGTGCGCCGAGCTTTAGACTTAGAGGCCCCCCACCACCTCCCAGGCCCAGATAACATTTGACAAAAATAGTTGGGAATCCCTTTGGAAACTGTTGAAATATTCTCATTCACATTATGGATACATATAGTACACAGTAATGACACCTTTTAGCACGTACATATCATTGATAGGCGTCTTATGAGTAAATGGGCTGACAATAAACCGACAACTGTTCATTCAGAAACAATGTGACCCCATATCCCAATGCATACAACACTCCACATAACACAGTTGTGACATATCATTATACATGTTATACTTATTCACATAACTACTTAAACAATTGCTTAATCATTCAAGATGTGTCATTCAGCACATTATTGCCCCCAAACTATGACATTGAAACTCCCAAGTACGTTAACTTAAATAGTTCACAGTATGGGAATTTTCACTGTTCATCACCTATCATGGCGAATGCTTCCTTGGCAGTGAACGGCACGCCAAGAAACGGTGCTTTCTCTTGCGTGTACCGCTGGTCCGTCTCTCCTGCATCCAAGATGGCATCGACCATCTCGGCTTCCTGTATCGCCGCGTCGAACCTCTCGGCTATGACGGCATTGAGGATGGGGTTCACCTCCCTGTTGCGGTCGACGAACGCTCGCATGACGTCAACACATCGCACCTACGATCACCGAAAAGCATTCTCAAAACAGCAGCAATGGGGAAATCATTCACTTGAAACTTCTCTTTAAAATCTGGCAGCTTTCATTAAACAAGTGCCGCAGAGCGACAGCGCTCATCTAACGTCTACTGCGGTGACTCTGTGGTGGAGTGGTGGGATTCTAGTAAACCCTGTTAGTCCCAAATGTGTTCACATACACGCCGAAACAGTGGAATGCACAGGGATTCCGATGGTATCCATTTACCTAAGCAAGCCTACAGGCTGCACAATAGAGAGCTGCCACCTGTAACCAATTAAAGCAAGAAAACTCACAGTTCACCACACATCACTGGCACGTAGCCACTGCAGTGGCGATACTGTTACATTGTAACATACTGACAGTACAGAATTCGATATTAAATTATGATTTAGGGAGCTAAATCTTCTTAAACAAATTTTAGCTCTTGTAATGGTTCCTGTGACATGTAGCTCATTAATTCAGGCATTATAGATTCTGTACTAGCAAACCTGGCAGTCTAAATTATCTTTCGTACAGACAGTCAAAATCCATTTTAACTCTTTTGAGGGTCAAAAGATTAATCTGACACTTACTCTTCGCATTCAGCTAGATAAGAGATTTCATGGTCTTTCAATAATGTCATAAAATGTAGATTGTCACGCTTGCATCTCACAAAAATGTTGTTCAATCGCTCGATCGACCATGGCATCAGAGAAAAATGTCATTAATTGCCTTACTATCCTTGAGCTTTGACATGGTGACGCTTCCAATTATCACGCCAGTGATTGGTATTTGTGCCTACATGCACGCATAGATGACACTAACTTATCGACGATGCATATAGGTCCGAGCGTTTAGATTTGTGCCGCAATTCTGTCATTTCTCTCCTCAACTTGACGTTAGGCGTATAATGGAGGAATGTTCCCCCTTCTTTTTAACCTATTCACTGCTATTTGACTTTTGACCTCAGCTTCGACAGCCCCAATCGTTTTTGACGAGTCCCCCAAGTTGTGGAATACTCGTGGAACGTACGTCGAGTGGCGTTAAGATTTGCGGCCAACTGTTGGGACGCTGGAGGACGACGACGGAGGCTGGTGGCTAACGGAACGTCATCGTGAGATATTACAATGCTGATCTCGTGTATGTAGATGAGCTAAAAAAACACAATTCCTTAACATGGTATAGCGAGTAACACGACAGATTTAGTTGTAGATGGATTCAAATTACTTGGATTTTGAGATTTATCAAACTCTTCTGTATTTAGGCCACTATGGACAATGTTGAATGTGTATCAAGTCAAAGCCTGCTGGAGGGGTATTTGGTAAAGCCCATATGCACTACATAAGAATGGCTAACTTTGGCTAAATGATGTTTAGTTTAACAGAGCGTGCTTAAGTCTTCGCCGTCAGCAACGGGGACTACTAATACACTATAAGGTTGATAACGAAATCAGTGAAGGAATCTTTCGCCAACTAGTATGTTACACTGTAGCACGTTAATAATAATTTTAAAAAGTGAGAAAAACAAGTGGCTGAGGATTTTAGTGTCGCCACTCCTAATCTAAATAGATATTAACGAATTAATCTCTAATAAACTCGGCAAACAATATAGATTACTATAATTACTGGATGTTACTGTATGAAAATCAGATTTATTCTGCAAAACATGTTGCGTTATATAAAGAACTGTCATCTAACCCAGGTATTACTATTAGATATGAAGTATAGTTACTTAAGTGAATCAATCATTTTTCGTGTGGGTGGTGCTATTTTCAATGTTAGCTTCTTAATGGTGGCTGAATCAGAGAGTGAAAAATAGTCTTCAATTGGGATAAATTTGGGTCAATTTTGCAAATAAAAAATTAGTATTTGAATTTCTTGATTAGAGGCTAGTGCTATAGACCACCGCTGATGATTGTCTGAGCTAGTGCTATGTTTTATGCATTAATGGCCACAGCAGTAGCAACCATGTTGCAAGGATTCTTCACCGGGTTTTTTCAATTTGCTGAATAGACATCCTGTGTCGGAGTGGGAATGGATACATTCAATGTTTTTAGATATTATTCTGAGCTTCATTCGATATTACAGATTGGAGTGAGAAAACACAGACCACCTCAGCTTCCTGATTTTCGTGCCGAGCTCATATGGCCGGTAACAGAAGGAAGCCTCTGTTTACAGGCGTTCTCAGTATTGTCTGCTTCGGTGTTTTTGATAGCATGATAATAAGATGTACGGAGCAATGCCGCAGAGAACCTTGAGATGTAGCCGAATACTTCGTATCGTTGATAGTGATAATTATGCATCTTTCTGTGACCGACTTTCTTTTCGAGTCATGCGTTTTGGTAGTCAAGGAAATAGGTATGTTATGTCCGGACAAGCACTAAATGCATTCGAACAAGGGACAATGGTACAGTGATTCTAGCATTAATTTTATTTAGTTTATAAATATTAAGGTTACTTATAATAACTGAACATGTGTCCAATGATCGGAGTTGCACCTGGCATGTTGTCACTAAAGTACCAGTTTATTTATAACTTATATTGTCTTTCTGTAACTTTTTACATAAAGACAATGAGTAAACCAATTAAACTATCAGCCTGCTTGGTGTAGTCATTAGAATACAAGTCTTTCTTTATATAGCGTATGAGACAGGCTGTTAGTATTAGTCCGATCTTACGCACAAGTTGAGTAGTGACAATTTTTGACATTATATAGTTGTGTACCACTTGGCATGGATAGATTGTACGTTGATCTATCACCCAGTGTGTAGATCTAGAACTTATTAGCGGATCCCTTCGTGCTGCTACACGCCTGTCGTTTGACGCGAAGGAATATGCTAGAGTCAAATGGCATTACTTTTCAATATATACATACCGCGGACTAAACAGCTCGCATAATTTGTGAGAACTGCTCTATTCTCACTTCACATTAAACTTAGACAATTTATATAATTATAATCTTTATTATTGCATAAGTTAATAAAGAATATAGTAATTGCAATTATATATTAAAACATGTCCTCTAATCACTATCAGTGCTGAAGTTTCAATCTATGATTTCATCAGTTTCAAAAATATTGTGTGTGAATAGTGTCTCTTTCCATATAATTTCATTCTCTTCTTAATTGCTTCTTAGGTACTTGTTTTATTCTACGGTTGCCTACTACATTTCGTTACGCAAATTTCATTTCGCCTACAGCAAAATTCCCGTTGCTACACAAATTCGCCTACTCCCAGATTGTCTACGCTTATCTACCCCTTCCATTTTCCTCTAATCGATCGGTTTTGTCACTTGAATAATCTTTTATTATTATAAAATAAATTTGTTTGTATTGCTACGTAGATACGTCAGGAACCAGTATGAAAATATAGTGTACAAATAGATGAAGAAACAAATCGACAAACGAAATAGACTAATACTAGTAGATAATGGGAGTAGTTAGGCCGAAATGGGAATATTGGCGATTCTGAGAGTAGCGAATGGAATGTTAGGCGAAAATATGTCGCGCTCCGCGAATATGTTGTAGGCAGATTAATGGAGTAGGCAATGCGATGATTACCTCTACTCACGCTTTTCTGCTGGCGTTGTTTGTGCGCGAGGCGGTAACGGTTGCGATGAACTAGTAGATTGAGGCATTGATTTGTGTAAGGGATTGTGCAATCGTGTAATAGTTTGCGTAATGTACAGTGATGTGGCCTATAATAGTGAGTAGTGGCTACACTACGAGCGGGGGCGAGTTTTCAAGATTTTTGGGGATTTTCCAACAGTTACTTAAAACATTTGCACAAAGCTCTAACATTTGATTTTTATGTAAGCACCATTTGACCTTCTCTTGGTGTGTCAAGAAATTAGTATTTGCCTATAGTAAAGGCTGCGCAGTTAAATCGAAGCGGGCTTATAATTAGGTAACTTAGCGTTGAATGAGGGTCTATGTCCCCGGGGATATGCTCGAACGTACCCTGAGTACTATCTTATAGCCGGACCGTACCTCCGTCCTACTCACTACGAGTCTAGGATGTCGCTTACGCCTATGCTTAACCTAACCCTGACCCGAACCCTAATCCTACTTAACCATATAATATAGTGCCCAGGCTATAGTATTGGTTTATTTACCGACCGTACCCAGGGGTACGTTCGCATAACCCTGGGGGAATATAGACCTATGAGGCTTGAACTAGGCTACACTGTAACGTCAAGTTACGCTGAGGGGTCTATTCCCGTATGGTACTGCGGAACGTTCCCTTGGCTTACAGCGTCTCGGTTATACGGAACGTACCCCGGGGGTATTTTTACTACAATTGCTCGTACGTACCTATGCCTTACTCCCATTAACTCCGAGTCTAGGGTTGATCGCCTATCGCCTAATCCCTAACCGAACCGAACCTATACCTAACCTAACCCTAACATATCAAATAGTGCCAGGGTTACGTTCGGTATACCGGACGTTACCAGGCTGTACTTCGGCAGTACCCTGGGAATAGACCTATGACAAAGTACACATTTACGCAGTCTCTTTTGTTTACCTCTGGTTTTAATGCCTATATCTAGTCAGGCTCTACCACAAGACCTCCTTCCTACCGTGAGTACCGTCTACGATCCCTCAGCAACCCCTAAGCACTCTTTTTTTTCTCTCTCTTTGCTCACGCTAATTATTTTACACCTGTTCTGGCTTATTTACTAATTATCGGTTACAGATTTTGGTTACCTGATTTGTTTGCAGAGGGCGCGCCCAAAACACATGAGACACGAGTTTTAAGTGGTTAGAATCACGCTGACTCTGACCAATCATTACTGAGTTACCATGAAATTTCGCCGTGTCAGCCGTGATCAAAACAAGCGCACAACCAAAATCGTGGCGCTTTATCGTCAGTTTGCTCTGTGATATTATTATCATGCACAAACATTTAATGTCATAAACTCAGCAATGCCAATTCAAAACCAGGCCGCATTCTTTCAACTGTCACTGCTACTGTTGGCAGACCTGTCCAAGTTATTAATAATGCACTAGAAATATCATGAATCCCGAAGGGCGAGCGGATAAGTCACTCAGCACATCTGAGTGTAGCAAAGAATAGAGTTGATCGATTAAGGGATTATTTCGACGGTTTCCTTAATAAAATGAATGTTAATAAAACAATTATATCAGTAGTCGCTCTACTACCCGAAGTACCGCAATAAGGTCCATAGTCTCTATGTTTGTTATTGACCCTAATAATTCATCTTTCAACACGTTCAATCACCGCAATAATACTCCGCAGCGCTTTTGTGTTATGCACAGTATCACACGTAGTAGTGAGCTATATAGAGTGTATATTTTATGTGCATGTGCCAATGGCGGTCGCGGCTCTGTGTTGCAGCCGGTGTATTTAACGGTGTGAGTATTATTATGGTCTAAATTCAAACAGTTAAGATCTTACTTTGGCTATTAGCGGTACCGTGAGTAGTAGGCTAACTGACAAGTCTGTATTATTATACCATCATTTTTTATTGAAACGGTCCAGAGTTGCCTGTGGTCTGACTCAGAGTCTAAGCCGAAATATTGTCAAACGTGCTTTGTATTTACTGCGTTTGTTGCGTATGGATTTGCCAGAATTGATACGTACTTTTTAAGTAGGCCCCCTATTTGTGGATTAGGTTATTGGTCTGTGGGTAGTTCTATGTTACACACTGTCAGTACTCGGTTCTGCTAGTCTAGTTACTATAGACCCGTTTAATTAAGTAGCTGGCTGGGGACTATATGCTCAACCATTACGAATGTCGGAGACCAACTTATTCAGTCAAGTCGACGTCATGGAACTATGTATGTTCCGCATGTTGGAGGGGTGGGCGGGTTTGTGTTGGTTGTTGGATCAAATCATTAGTTGTTAGTCATGAAGTAAACAAATTTAATATTAAATAATTATATGTTCATTCTTATAAAACTATATATTTCAATCCTCTTATTGATCGCTTAGACTCTTGTTACTTGCACAGACACATGTTTTTGTTCCCAGACCACACCAACCGCCGTACCCCTCCACAACGCAGGTTAATAACATTATGTAACGCACTGAGTGCGCAGTCGCTGCACCGCTTTGCTAAGAAAGGCTGAGATTTGAAGTAATCGCTAATACTCGAATGTTATTGTTAAAAACAAAGAAAAAATACCGACATAGGATATGCATTGAAACATAGTTAGAGGTTTTCAATTTTAGTGCGTATAACTTAAGACGCATATTCTCACTCTCGGATTAAGATGCATTAGATTGCCTACCACAGACGTTTTATAGTCGGGTATAATCGGGGATAAGTTGGTCCATCGCATGCCCCATGGGTCGGTCTATAGCCCAGCGGCAGTTAATGTAAGCGGCTATAGTACTAGAGCTACTCGAGTTGCAGCTAGGGCCTACTCGCAGCTTAGGGCCTACTCGCAGCCAAGGCTCCTTGCTCCTTGCTCCTTGCTCCTTGCTCCTTGCTCCTTGCTCCTTGCTCCTTGCTCCTTGCTCCTTGCTCCTTGCTCCTTGCTCCTTGCTCCTTGCTTTAGCTCCTTGCTCGCAGCTAGGGCCTGCATACCTCCCAAATCCTATTGCCCGGTTGATACAAATCACGACACGTGCCTGAAACTCATGTTTTAATAAAACTTTTATGGTGCATTGTGACCCTAACCCTAACCCTAACCCTAATCCTAACCCTAACCCTAACCCTAACACTAATTACAATTTAATTTAAAAAATGAACTATATTTGTATCCAACAATGGGAGTTGAGAGGTATGCGAGTTCTAACCGCGAGTCTAGGGCCTTAATCATACCTCCCAAATCCCATTGGTTGATACAAATCACGTGCCTGAAACTCCTGTTTTAATAAAACTTTTATGGTGCATTGTGACCCTAACCCTAACCCTAACCCTAACCCTAATCTTAATCCTAACCCTAAGGGCCTAACCCTAATTAAAATTTAATTGAAAAATTAACTAGATTTGTATCAACCAATGGCCATTTGGGAGGTATGCAGGCCCTAGCTGCGAGTTGTATACTCTACCTTCTCCATCATCATGCCCCTGGCCTCACACGTGACTCAGTGATGCACGAAGGGTCTTTGTCGTATAATGGCGTATAATATGTACCTGAGGTAACTATTTGATATGGTTAGGGATAGGGAGTAGGCGTAGGCGACATACTCGCCGACACCTCGGGTACTACATATACAACAACCCCTTCAGCCTCAGTGACTGTGTCAGTGACACCACTCACCAGTTACCAGACACCACGTCACGACACTACTGTCACTAGTTAAAAATAAAATTGCATTCGACTAGACGATCCTCCCGCACAATCCTAGTTTGGTACCCCAGCCCTCATTTTCGCAAATGTGCTAGACTAATCTGTGGTGCTAAACTAGGATTGGGCTGAAATTCCACCCAGCGAAGTCGGTGTTTACAAAATCGGGGCAATGATTCAACACCACAAATCGGCCAACTCAAATAGGATATACCCCCAGATAGGATATAATATGATCAGCCTGCCTACAGTACTGAAAAAATATGCCAGTAGAAGGCATAGAGAAATTAATAGAAGACATGCGAGATGACTACATCAGAGGAAGAGCTCAACCGGGTTACAGGAATTCAACCCTACTAGATGCATCGCCATCACATTCACCAACGGGATAAGTGGAAAAACGCACGCGCATGATACCATGGATTAAGCTAGCGTGGATTAGCATTAAACATTAGCAAACAACACCATATATATTACTTGGAGTTTTCTTTGACACCATGCAGCATGTATGCACACATAGTACACAAACCTGGGCAAAATCACAATGAAGCCACACCACCAGTCTTTCTTCGAGCAGAATATCAGTAGTTGACCCAGGCAGTCAAATGGCCTGCACTGATACACCACCTTTATCTGACCAACTATCGTTTATATTATGTTTCCAACGTCTAGGATCGATCGATCATGACTAATAAACACTGCAAATAAGATGCTACAGGGAAGAGCTCCATGATTCATTAACAATGCTTAGTATCATGGGAAGAGCATCACTGTTCTGGTTGATTCCCTTAGTTGCCTATCGCAGAAGGAGAGTAGATGCTAGCTAAAAGGGTGTTGGTTATAATTGCTAAACAACATAATCATTATAACAATTATCACTTGATAAAAACTAGCCCTGCATCCACTAAAGATTCCCCACTTTGGTTCTCCTAGACATACTCACAAGGGAGGGTCTACCTCCAGAGTTTCTTTTTAATTTCTGTTAGACTAATAAAAGCTTGCTGCCCCACTGATATCATGCAACCGTTGTTTGAAGGTTTCTGGAGAATAAAAAAAAACAGAGTTATAGCAGGTCCGTGCCAACTCATGCCAATTAGACACTTAGCATAGCATCATGAGTTCGTGAATCTAGGTTACAGTGATACTTTGCCATAACAAAATTAAGGCTCTATATAATAATGACAGTTACTCCCAAGGGGATATCCAGAAGCTAGAAGATAATACAAAATGTAATGTCATGCATGTATAGCTACTGTATGTATTAATTTAGTGTCACTAATTAAATGTTTGTTTTTTAGGACGTTTACAGAAATCAGCAAATTCCACAAATATTTTTCTCTACAAAGCTGGAAAAAGTTCGTTATTCAAGTGCTAGGGAAAAGGGGGAAATCATTGCAGAAATCTACAGTTGTAGGTAATATTTCATTCTGTTCTTGGCTCTTATTTTGTTTCTGGTGTTTTAAATAAGTACACAGGTAAAAATAGCATTCAAAATTGTGGACAACAATAATATTGCCAGTGACTAAACCTTCACAATTGTGGTAATGATTGTCATCACTCTGTGTTGTGTTATCTATATATGTGTTCGACATTTCATATAAATATTTCTATAAGTTTTCTTAATGTCACAGATGACTTAGGTGAATCCCCAGCCTTGGAAGTTCTTGCATACAAAAATAAAGATGGTAAAGGCTATTTTGCAAGTAGGTTTCTTATTCTATGTTTTGGAATGTTATTGCTGGAATGTATTTATTCACTCCTGATATATATATATGTATAACATGTATAAGCAAGACCTTTGATTTTAATTATTGACTATACTCATGATTAGTACTATCGATCGTTAGAAGATGTTTGGAATGTATTGTTTTCAAATGTACAGAAAATGTTTGTCATTCTCTCTGAGCTGTTTCTCAACAAGCTAGTGCCATGTTTATGAGCTTTTATTGAACTATATTTCTACTCTGGAGTATTAGTGGCTGTGATTTATTATAGAATCAACAACACCCAGATCTCCACGCTCTTCCAAAGTGAAGTTCAGAGTAGGGCAAGTGATAAAGCACAAAATATGGGGCTACCGAGGAGTTATCATAGGTTGGGATGAAGACGCAAAAGTAAGTATCAACCAATGTCACTATATGGTGCAATAAAGAAAATAAATCACATTAAATGCAATTGATAGTGTAAATCAGTGTGTGAAACAAACCTTCCTTGTCTGGTAGTCATAGGAACTACCAGGTTTTGTAATTTTGTAGTTCGTGAGCAATTCTGATAGTGAAGAATTTTGGTATTCTGTGAGTTTCAACAAAACGAGTGAAGTCCTTCTACACATGGCATATCAACAAACATGACTGCGCCCATACAAGTTTTAAGTATATTTGATCATCGGTGGCCTAATTCATTTAAAATAAAGTTATCAGAATGTAAATCAGAAGTAATTGCGAACAATATGCAAGAAAGAAAATTATTTTCAATTATTAGTTTATTCGTCCTTGTTGGTTAAAAACTGAAAGTGCGTAGTTAAGTTGATGCTGGGTAGTTAGGTAGTCCCCCAGACTAGTTGTTAATGTAAACTACTCCTGTATAAGTGTGGTAGTTTCAGACTAACGGACTACAGTGGTAAAAATCTACTCTGGTGTAAATTATTAAATATATAGTCGTCACTAAGTCGTGTCTGTATGCTAACACTAGATTAAAGATGTTCAACAATGAAATGTTTGAAAATACAACACAGTTGGGGTTAGTATGTAAATGCCACTTGAATACTTTGTTATACAAATTTTAGTATAATTGTGCATCAGTTCACAATGTTGTAGGTACATGTGATATTTACTGAACATGTAATTGCAGGCACCAGAGTGGTGGGTGAATCAAAATCATCCTGATGATAAACCGGTAAGTACACGTGTGGTAAAGTATAGACACAAATGCTTCCATTTACTGCCTAAATTTGGAATAAATTATGTCTTGCATGCATTTTGGAAAACTTTACAGGTTATAAGATATGTTTGATTTTACATTGATTAGATTACTCACCAACAATTAGAGACCATCTAAAGTTTACTTATTACTTGGCTGCGACATTGATATCGGTACTCACTAAAGCAATTTATGCCGGGGCTTTTAGGACTGGCGAACGCAGCCCAATTACTCGGTGATAGTGGATACGCGAGATCGGCCTACACCGCAGAGCACCTACATCCCACAGGAAAACATTGAAGTGCTAAAACAGACTAAGGTACGACCGTAATTAAATTGTCACTAACATATTTCACATAAGCATACTATAACACTGTCATGCCTTCGCAGAAATTACATGTACTGAGTGATATGTTACCAGCAGTTTTGCTTTTCACTTTTTGCTTTACCTATATATCATGATCTTGTGCTTGCCGTGTGCATTTTCTATCTACTGCCTAGTGTGAACGTAAGCATTGCTGTACTGCAATGTCTTTAACATCTTCGCGAACATACTTTTAACACATTCATTAGAAATGCGTGTAGTTGTCACACTCTAGTTGTCTTGTTTTTTGTCTATGTCACACGCGGTTGTGCTTATACTTTCTCCCCAGATCATCCATCCGGTCTTGGACGACTACTTTGAGAATTATGATGGGACGCAGTACCTCATCCGACCGTGGCTCAAGGCCCTGTACCCCCACGACTAGTGTGGAGTGATACAGGAATGCAGTGCTCGCTAACACTGTACTGTGTTCGTCGTGAATCAAGGCAGTGTACCCGCCACAACATCGTACGGAGGGAGGTCTCACATGTCAGCTGGGTGTCTTCACATCGTCATGCTAGTCAATCTGAGAATCGCTGGGCATGTGAATCGTCAAAGGCCAAGCGGTGTCAGGGAGTTATTTTGTTATCATCTGAATGTCAGGTGTCATGCGTGGTGGTGCGAGTATGGGATGCATGCCCTGCAGACAGGCACCTGTAATCTCACAGAACCTGTTTGGAAATCGGGATTGTTTTTATTTACTCATTGGGCCTTCTCCGTACAACCGTTAGTTAGAATTAAAATTTCATGTTTAGCCATGTGAAATTAAAGGCACCAAGACATTCACTGAGTTAAAATTACCAGTAGACTTGCTTTTCACCTTGTGCTTTGCCTGTTTTAGTATTTATCAGGATCTTGTGTTTGTTTCCTTTTTTTTCTTACTTGGATCTACCGCCATCCTTAGTTCTACGGAAAATGCATTGTTTTATTTAGGGGTGCACCGGAACTATCCGGCCGGATCCCCAATTTTTCAGAGTTCCGGTTCCGGCCGGAACCCTTCAGAAACAGTCGGCCGGAACCGGAACTTTTTCCTAATTTAATTTCAGCTACAAGCGTCATCAAGATCAAAAGATCAGTCACTGAATGTAGTTGAGAGTCAATAGACTCAACTTGCTGACAATATAGTGTTAACAACTTCACACTATTCTGCCCAAAAAACGCTTGCCACTTGAACATCGGCTAACTAACTGAACTGAACCTAACTGATGTTAGGTGATTCACGAGATTTTCTTTTCAAATCAAATACTCTTAGAGCCACAGGAATGGCATGTCTGTTGGTTGAAAATAATCGACTAAACCCAGGGATACTGCAACATGCAGGTTTTGCCACAGAATTCGCTCGCGAATAAGATGCCAGAATTATGCACTGTAAGCAGATGATTCATACACCTAACAACCATCCTGTAATTAGAACTTTGAGCATTGTCCTACTCGCCTGAGTGATGTGCCTGCTAATAATATTTCGTTCAGGCCGAGTGAGTTTGTGCAATATTGGGCCAAAAGTTTATTCCCAGCTTAAGTTCCGATTCCGGTTCTTGAAAAGTTGGATCCGGTGCACCCCTAGTTTTATTATTTAAACCCCCGGAAGCTGATAAAATATTGGATATTGTGAGATATGTTGCTGGCCATGATAACAGTAGTGAGATGTAAAGTGAGTAAATAATGCCAAAAATAATCTTGTGCGTACCACACCTGTGGAAGATAGGGTAGTAGCTAGTTCCTTGTGCATCTCATGGCAGTGGTCCATGGAGGGGGATATATTTATCTGTGATATTTAATATTGCATTATGTTGATTGTAAGCTGACTGAAAGAGTAAATATCTTTTAAATGGTTCTTCCAGCAGTACCACGGCAATATCACATGTGATCTCTTGAATTCACACCCTGCACAGCAAACAGCAAATGATATATTCTTATATTTCTTGACTGCCGTTTGGACCGCTGCATTTATATGGCCATGTTATAGACATTCCTCACCTACCCTACTTCAAGCAGGAGCTTTGTGTGAGAATACTGGGATACTATTGGTATTCGAGGTTAGATGATACTGGTGCCTAGCAAACTCTAAACGTTCATGTGCCTGCTCTTACGTTGCTGTCACGGACAACGACGTGTGGACTCGGTTATGCAGGGGACTATGATTTAGTTCAGATAGTGAGAGATCAGCAGGTCCTCTGGTCAACCGTCAAAGATTACCGATTTCACGTTTCAGCGTGCCAGGGGGTACTTGTCCCATATATCTCATCACGTTCTGGTGGTTGGGTGGGAAGGCTGCCATCCGTCAGAAGTCGACCGTCCATGGGCAGCGTGCCCTAGACATTGCTCGTGCTACAGCTTGAACAGTGTCAGCTCTGTTCTGGTGTTTGTATATCTATGTAATAGGGTGATGTAAAATGTTTGAGCAACTCAGCAACTTCAGTGGTGACTGTGTGCTTATGTAGCCATCAAACTTATTGGGCTAGCAGTCGTGATAGTAAACAGAAAATGCAAGGGTTGACATTTCTAACTGGCCTAACTAGTGGAAGTGGGAGGAATAATCAGGTGCGGTGTAGTTTTGTTCCATAGATTGATGGAATGAATGGCAACATGGTTACACTCCACGCAGTGTGATGATTTTCCGTTATCGATGTTAAGAACGGCAAATCATCACACTGCATGGAGTCTACATGATGTGCTTGTGCATAATCTTTACATTTTCTTACCATTGTTAGTGTGCTTGGAGCTGCCTTGATGTTTCATCTAACAATGTCTTTACTGAAGTCAGGAAAGTTAATTAGGTAATTAATGATAGATTAAAGATCCTAAAGCAGAAGGATTTTCAACTCATAAAATACCTGTTAAATAACAAGAAAATTGATGTGGGAATGATTTGGGGTTTTAAAATTCAAACGAGTTTCAACTTACGAAATGATATTCGTACATAACCATGTTTAGTTCTGATGTGCATAAGTGTGCTAAAGACTATCTAAACGCATACCTGCTTCTGTTTACAAACTGTTAAATTCTACACCACCACACCACTGTTACACAGTGTAGATTTTTGTTAAAAACTCGTTTCTAATAAGAAATATTAACTGTACATACGTACGTGTATATGCTATAGTAAATCCTGTATGTGACATTCGTGGATTGTATTATAAAAAGATCTAGAGGCTCCTGTGCTCCATTGCAAAACCAAGTATTTATTTTATAATGAATAATAAATAAAGTACAGGAATAAACCACACCTGTTGTATACATTAGGTGCACATTTTAGTATGCATTACATTTGCGTTTGCCTTACTTTCGAGTCAATACGTTCATAAACACCATAGTTATCATGTGACTGACAGAGCATTCCTGAATTAAGCTAATTAAAATATTACTTGATATACAGAGTTTATTCTATACCTATATCAATGTCAGCCTTGCATCATGCGTGGTCCAAACTACCTATAGCATGCAGCTGTTATATATATGCTGAGGAAAGCTGGGACATATGTGAATTGATAGATACACATGTCTGGATATGAGGGTCTGAACAATTTTACTTGCAATCTTGGCTATACTTGTGTCAACAATAAAAGCTTCTTACATGTTACCCTGTCATTATACTGGGTTAATCTTGAAAATTAATTTTCGTCCACCTGACTAGTGCTTGCAAAGCTATATAAATAGTGCTATACTGTAATAGGTTGAGGCAACATGCTGGACACACCTGGTCATCCTGTAATATGCAACTAATATGTATACTATTAGCAAATATTCTGTGCACATCTCAAGCTTCATAATAATAGATGTATATTGTTACATACAAATTTGCCACCATTCACAACCACCAACGCACACAGTAGGACATACAACGATCGGCTAGATTTGCATACTAAGATTATAGTTTAGCACATGAAAAGGCTTAACTTCGTTTTAAACTGAGAGCCTGAGAGGCACAACGGTGCATTGTGTTTCACACTGAACCTGGCCTCAATAGCAGAACTGAACATTTGCTGTTGTTGCTTTGTGAGATCTAATATCACAGCAAATTTAACCAGCCAATCGATGACTGTTACTAGCAGTTTAACCCCAGCAGGTGTAACAGGTGTACCACCACTACGTGCGGCCACGTAGCAGAGACGTCACACTAAACATGCGCAGATGATACCACATTGCAGACGCTATCTAGCCACACGCCGCACTGGAATTTGCGGCAAAAAATCTGTTTGCACGTGCAGTCTTTGTGGCGCCCTCTAGCACAACCCAGTCTAGCCGATCCTGCAAGCAACATGCTGGTGTAGCCAGGTTGGTTGTGGGGCCTCTGCTTCCAGTGCCACCTGTCTGTAGTCGTACTTGATCATGAATGACACCTGCATGAATAATGTGCATATATAGGCCACGTCCACATATAGGACACGACAGTGAAATCTTAAGTGAAGATCCTCAATGGATAATCGCCCTCAATGCTTACACCCATCTTCAATATGCTTAGATTTCCATGTTTTACCGAAAAGCCTATTGATACTATGATGATGAGGAGAAATACACTAGCCGAAACCGGTTGTTTTGTGGGAAATATTTTTTAGTTGTGTTCATTTAATTTTGATAATAGTAATACAAAACTTATGCTTAACAGTTATTGAAACAGCACGTGTGTTCATGATTTGTTCTTCATCAACTAATCAGTCGATCAGCAAATGGTTTTGATACAGTAATCATTTGCTATTAGTTCATCTAAGATATTTGAGCTTATCCCAGCCTATAATTAAGCGATCTACTCACCCATGCTTCTTTTGCAGATTCATTTGGAGTAATTTTCACAACAAACCCCAGCTTGTTTGCTTTACGGAACACTACCACCCTGCGACAAACATACACATGCAGTCAGCAAGAATTTACCACTTTGTCGATATGCAATTACTGACATACATACAGGACTCCATATGAAAGGTACAATTGCTAACAGCGATATACTATTTGCCAAACTAAGTCATGATAGCATCTACTACACACACCAATGTCACATACAACTCAGATACACAGTATAGCCATTACGTAGCATGAGGCTAATATAAGTAGACATGATACAGTACACAGACACTGTTACTGACACATGTACGGCATCAGCGCAGATTACAGTTTCTTACTGTGGATCGTCCTTGTAGTCGCGAGGTGGCTCTCCCGCATCATCAAACTCTGCTGTCTCGTCCTTAGCTGCAAGCACCAGCTCAGTCTTCGGCAGCACCACCTAGTGAATTAAAAAACAAAACAAATAAAAGTCGATACTAATTCCATTAGATTATAGTCAGAGTATAGTCACATAGCATGACACTCCAAAATTTAGCAGCAACTAATTATGTTTCTACTACTGTATATAGTTATTTATTCAAAAAAACTTGCCTTGCAATTTCCAACATCTTCTGGCAATTCGCTGGGCAAAACAATGACGTGCATCTCATATTGACTAGGGTTAGACAACGTTAAAATAACTCTGCTCTCCTAAAAGCAAAATAAAAGAAACATTATTATTAAAAGAATAATAGGCCCATTGATTATGCAAAGTTGACGAATGCTACAGTAACTGGCACCTTGTGTAATTAATAAGTACATTACCTTATAGCCAAACGCGTATTAGTTTGTCCAATATCACTGCTGGTTACTAAGAAATGTCTAATTGAAATCCGCAGTCCAACAAATCAGTTGACTGACTTGTTTACAGTTACGCATGCTCGGCCGTACGCAATGCTAACGTAACTGCTGACGTAACTGCATACGTAACAGTAGCTCTGATTGCAATGAACAGATTCCATGTATGAATCACTGATGCTCGTGATAATGAAGTAGGCTGTGTTGGGGGCCAACACTATGGGGGGATCACAGACTAAACACGGCCACAGACTAAACATGGAAAGCAGACGGCACTAGGTGTATTTACATATATTGGTCAAACGAATACACCTGTGTCCGAAATTGAAGACATGTGGGTATTAGTTCATTAGCACCCACAGTTATTTACTTGTGCCTCAATACCAAGAATACACCCAGAAGCAGAGATACATTCTACTAGCTCATTAGTCATTATAAGCATCCCGAGATAAACAATTCTCTGCTCAACACCCGTAGCAACATGTGACGTCACCTAACCAAATTCGAGGCTATTTTGCTTGGCAACCAATTTAGCATTGGCGCCAGATTTACAGATTTCAATTAGACATTTCTTAGTAATTAGCAGTGATATTGGACAAACTAATACGCGTTTGGCTATAAGGTAATGTACTTATTAACTACAGAAGGTGCCAGTTACTGTAGCATTCGTCAACTTTGCATAATCAATGGGCCTTTAAGTAAACATTTCAAGATGACAACATGTCAGATTTTTAGGTAAGCTTACCGAGCAAAAGATTATATTTGTTAATGCTTCTCTTCATTGTTTGTACCTTACACATTGCACATTAGTCAGCACATATTAAGCCCATAGCCATTAAACTATAGCTATAGCCTTTTTTAACTGGAAGGGGTGGGATACCTTCTTCGGGTGGAGTTGTACTCCAGGCACCACTCTGATTTCCGGTACCAGATATCTGCAAGTAACAGAGATCTACATGAAGTAAAGAACTGTGGAGCAATAAATGGTCACAACAATTTTACATGAACCACTAGCACAATTACATCATACTTATTATACTACTTTGTCTCACACGGGTACCTATTTGAACTGCATTGGATCTTTCAATTCAACTGCTTATTAATGGATATGCTCAGATATCCCAACCACCCTGTGGTTCCCTGTAAAACCAAACAAGACTGGCTACAAGTGAGAACTGGCATGCACTTGCACATTCAGACCATTCACACCAGTTCACATTCCATTTATATTCTGTTAATTCATTCACACCTACATGGCTATCAGCTGGATTTTGAACTTGATGGAAGAGGGACTGAAGTCTGGCTTGATGAGATTGTGCTCGCACTCCCTGCATCGCTTAGAGCGCTTCACCAGCAGGGTCTTACGGTGTGGCTTCAGTTTGGAAGTGGTGTCCCACTGCAGCTCAGGCTGACTAATAGACTGACCTATCGTACAGACTGAAAAACCCACAGACAGCTTCACTCTTCCGCCTCTTTTGCATGCAACCACCATCGCATTAAACTTCAATGAGGTTAGCCAATCAGTTCACCGCAAGATGGCATGCGTGTTTAGACCGGTATACATTACTTCCGTGAATAGGCTTTTATAGTTGCTTTTGCGATGCCTGATTACTGTGTTGTACCTCAATGTAACAATAAAGGAGGTCATAGTTTCCCAAGTGACCTAGAACTGAGATTGTAATGGTGTGTGGCGATCAAAAGAGGTGATGAAAGTGCATACGCCCGCACGCATGCACGTGTACGTGCACATGCACCCACGCACGCGCACGCACGCCCACACGCACGTGTACGTGCACATACACCCATGCAAGCGCGCACGTGTACGTGCACACGCACCCATGCACGCGCGCACGTGTACGTGCACACGCACACACGCACACACGTGTACGTGCCCACGCACACGCACGAATGCACATGTACGAGCACACGCACGCACGCACGCATGTGTACGTGCACACGCATGTGTACGTGCACACGCATGAACATGTACGTGCATACGCACGCATGCACGCACGTGTACGTGCACACGCATGCACATGTACGTGTACGTGCACACGCACCCATGCACGCGCGCACGTGTACGTGCACACGCACGCACGCACGCACATGTACGAGCACACGCACGTGCACACGCATGCACATGTACGTGCATACGCATGCACATGTACGTGCATACGCACGCACGCACGTGTACGTGCACACGGATCAGCTTTCCTCCCAGATGTCTTTGCACCTCTACTTTGCAACTCTGATTTCAATTCATTTACGGTTTTCCCTTCGTAACTAGACGCCATTGTTTAGGTGTGATACCGGGAATCGTGTATCGGAGAGAAATACTCATTTTTCCGGAAATAGCCGAACGGTAGTACGGCGTTGCTAATTGCCTAATAGAGGTACCCTAACCCTAACTCTAAACAAAAAAATAAAAAAATAAAAAATAAACAGATGGGATTCGAACCAACATAACCAAATACCCTGGTACGTAAAATGAGTATTTCTCCCTGGTGCAATAATCTGATAGCGAACAGTGCACGCGCGCCATCTATCCAGCGATTAGTAAATGGCAAACCCCATTGACAAATAACTGATTTGCATTGCTTGCGCGTCTATCAACACATCTCCATCTTCTGCATTTAAGTGCACGTTTTTCTAGATATGTATGCATTTATACAGCAGCAACAGAGTGCTTGCAGATTCTTCTCAATTATGGTGCAACAAATGCTTCTAATGTTATATGAGCAGGGCTTACCTTCATTGAGGTTGACCGGTTTGTTGTAATAATCTTCACTGAGTAGTGCTATGTCATCGGAAGCTTCACTAGCCTCAAGTTCAACTAACTTTGCATCCTCGCCTTTCTTCAAGCTAATCACAGAAAATACCCCGATTGCAATCAATAGTAACATCAGTAATGTTAAGTGAAATTTAAGTTATTAATCTTCACATCACCTTATAGATACCAACACAATATCACACTGAACTATTAATAGTCTGAATTGTACTACATGTTAATCCAGGGATATATAAATAATACGCTGTTATACAAATAGGTGAATCGAATAGAATAGGCTACACATGTATAGAAAATTACCTGCTAGGAGAGTGAGGGGAGAGGCCAGCCCTGTGCCTAGCCACAACAGATGTTAGACCATATTTGTCCTGAAAGCATTATTCAAATAAGTAAGTTAAAGTGATTATCATCGATATACTTATAATACTGCCACGAAACATAGACTGTGTCTTGTAACACAAACATTAGGGCAATCTAACAAGTGAACATACAGTATATACAGTATACTCACATATAAGAAAAATTTCTAGTGGTTTGAGAACGCACATGGTCACTGCCAGATATGGAAATGATTTTGCTTTGTAATAACATGGATATCATTTCTAAGGGGAGAGAATGTGCAGGGTTTAGTAATGATTGCACCTGTATCCATTTATACATGCAGTACTTATCTAGTACTTTAAAGGACAATTGAAGTCAAATTTTATAACTTCTGTAACGTTTTTATACATAGAAATACATTCAATAACGTATTCCATTTCAAATCCGGCGCCCAATTAGTAAGAAACACATGAATATTAATCTAGGTCATGTGATGTCACAGCCCCATGTTGAAACATGCCATTATGTAAACATAGTGCGTGTGGTGTATAAAATGGAGACAGAAAGCGATAATTTCAATGATTCTAGTGATTACTCAGATGATGATGATATTTATAGTGATTTAACAGTTGGATATAGGTTTGAGCCTGAATATACACAAGAAGAAATTGAGGAGAATCGTCTGAAAAAGCAACGCGAAGAGTCGGCACAAACTTCTCAAGAATCAAAACAGTCACAACATGGCGGAATGGAAGGTTCGGTACCAGATAGGACTGTAGACAAATACTGGTGTTCTTGTAGTGTTTGTGAATTAATGAGTACGGCACCTGAATGTATATGCTGCCATGAGAATGAGAAGACCAGGGTTATTGTAGACCAGTTCGACGCTAGACCAGGTGAGTCACACGAGTAGGCCTACACTGATCACCGGGCTTATCACGCTCGGTCAGAATCACATGTATCTGTACATGTACAAACATCTCTACGCAAGTCCTGTACATATACCGTGAATGCATTATCCACACAGGTAATATGTATGTACATGAATATAAGTACATTTACAGGCTACATGTTTGTTGTATGCTGTAACAATACTTTCACCTAGCATAACATATACTAGCGTGTTACGCTATATAATGGCGCGTTTCAACATGGGGCTGTGATGTCACATGACCTAGATTAATATTCATGTGTTTCCTACTGATTTGCCAGCGTGATGGCGCCGGATTTGAAATGGAATACATTATTGAATGTATTTCTATGTATAAAAACGTTACAGAAGTTATAAAATTTGACTTCAATTGTCCTTTAACTAACTCAACACTAACATGCATAAGAATTGTGCAGTACTGAGACAATAGTCTTCATTTTAGACTAGGATGAAACACAACTAAAGCCTAGGAACTAGTGGCACACATCGACAGTCAAGAAGTCGCTCTCACTCATTCTAGTAACCAATCTCGTACCGCATGCTGCAGAAGGGCCCTCCTCCTGGATGGTGTACGCTTCCGGTCCCTCTCTACCTGCTCTACTAGTGCCATCTGCTGGTAATATTCTACCAAATTGCTGATCTGGTGGACAACGTAGTTTAAATTATTGCTTAGCAAAAATTTACCCAGCACCTAATGATATGCAGTTCTTCTATGCACGTAACTACATAGGGAAAATAGTGTACCATCATATATAACAATAAACAGTGTATGATCTTTATAACAAAATGAACAGGCCATCATTTATACATATAATAATAATGAGTGTATAGCTCAGTGTTTTTTAAGGCTGGTGCATGGGTCTTTAATTATAAATAATACCAAGTTTCCGAGGTATTTGTACCCGATACCCCACACAGGCTGTCACTCTAGATCCAGTATAATTTACCTGATTACCACCAAAGATGTACCATTATTTCTTATTTACAACTTTTAAAAATACCCTGCATCATACCTGCTGATTATGCGGGTTTTCTTCTTCGTTCCAGCCACCTGAAGCTATACAAAATTAAAAAATTTATGACCATATCTGCAATGATAACAGAGAGCGGTTACATAGTACAAACATACATTGTACCATTTATAGGTGCATGTTAAATTGTTATCAATATGAATGTATTATGATTGAGAAATACCAAAATAGATTTCATACAAACCAAATCGACAAAATTTTAGTTTTCTGGATAGGTAAAAGTATGTCCAATACATAACAATATATTACTATTTCTACATAGCATACATCCCAGTCTCTAAAGTTATATCTTGAACTTACTAGCTCGTTGATTCACTTCAGAATGCATATATATGTGTAAAAGTGACATGCAATAACAATTCCAGTTACGGGTGCCTGACAGAGATGTGCATCATCAGATGATACATGGAAATAAGACTGAAATGAATACTGTGCTCCTTGTTGTTTTACCCACCAACAGGTTGATCCTGTAGACCTCCATCTCGCGATGTCCAGCGACAAAACCCACATGCCAGATAGTAAACTTTCTTCGGCGTAGCAGGAGGTGCTTCCTCGGCGGCACCACTTGGCTGTGATGCAGAGGAATCAGGACTTGTTGGGCTAGTCGCTCCGACGAGTAGTGTCGTAGCACGCGTGGACAACGTATGCTGACAGCAAGGGCAGTCAAAGCAGCTTGAACACCTAGGCACCAAAAACTTCCAAGCTGTAAATATTCCTGTTCATGCAGTGAATGTGGGACTAAGAAATATTGATGCTATTTAAAAATTTGTATGTAGGATACATATAAAAAATTTGCTGGCAATCCTAGAATAACTAATATATTAATTATATCAGGAGTAAGATAATATATAGATCTATATTATCTTACTCCTGATTATATTACATCGACATTTACACAACAATCTTCGTCTAAGAAATACAGCCTAATGGCACCTGTTTTTCTTTAGCATTGCTTCTGTTGATGGCATGTTTTCTAAACAATTGGGGCAATAATGGTTGTCAACCTGTAAATTAAGCGAGCAAAAAACATAAAATTAACTCGATGCCTTACTTTTAGAAACTACTAGTACTATACTAAACTTAGTAAGCTAGTAGTAGTAGTAGTAGTAGTAGTAGTAGTAGTAGTAGTAGTAGTAGTAGTAGTAGTAGTAGTAGTAGTAGTAGTAGTAGTAGTAGTACAAGTAGCAGTGGCTGTAGTATACAGTAAACAAATGAGACTATACTCTCTACTCGTCTCTAGCCTAGGAAGTGCATGTTCACTGACATGAAACCCAAATAAGTTACGACCTAAAACGGTACGAATGCAACACCTTACCTCATGGGTGACACATTTACTACACCGTAATTTCAGGCAGTGTTTACAAAAGTAAAGTAAACTAAAAGCTGTCCATTTATCACAAGAACACATGTATTTCACCCTCTCGATGTTCATGTAGGTAGCCATTTTGATAAGTCAACACAACAACGCCACCTGTGGGAAACGAAATTCAATAATTCGAAATAATATCTGTGCCATAGTATTTTGATCACTGATCTCTCTCTCTCTCTCTACTCTCGTCCAGTCTCTCAATTCGTCTCTCTGTCTCTCCTGCTCTCTCGTTCTCTCTCTCTCTCTCTCTCTCTCTTCTCTCTCTCTCTCTCTCTTCTCGTTCTCTCTCTCTCCTCTCGCTCTCTCTCTCTCCCTCCCTCCCAGTGGCGTAGCCAGCAATTGGAAAACAGGGGGGGCCAAGGCGAGGGAGCGAAGGCGACCGAGGAGTAGGGTGTGGGAGGGGTATCCCCCCCTCCACGGTAGGGAGATTTTTGAAATTCGTGCATGAAAATGGCATTTTCTGCACACTAAAATTCAGTATTAGGGGTAACTATATGAGAAGTGGCATATGCTAATCCTTATAACCCCCCTCCCCTCGCTTTTTATTTTTTCCACTCCGATCGCGATCAAACGTGGGACGATGGCCGCGCTGCTGTGGCGCCGGAAGGCTCTGAGGTTACACACGACCAGTTGGGTGGACCCTTAGCTAGACCAGTGAAAATGGTGTACGAAGCCAGTGTTTTTCAGGGAGGGAAGAAAAGAGTTAAGCGACCAAGACAGCGATGAAGCAATTTCTCAACGGGGAGGGTGTTAATTTCCTCTCCACAGTAGGGTAATTTTTGAAATATCTGCATCAAAATGGCATTTTTGCGGCATTTCATTTCATTATTAGGTGTAGTAATAGTGGTATAGACCAATCCCTTCAGGCGCTTCTCTCTTAATTTTTGTACTCTCCGATCAAGAGGGGGTCATGGCCTCCTTGTGGCCCCCCCCCCCTTAGCTACGCCTATGTCCTCATTCAAGCACTCGACGGAATATGTGGAATTAGTTTGATTTGTGTTGTTAGTAGTACCATGCAATGTTGGCATTTTATCCGTCATAAACTGTTTCAAGTTCCACATATAAAAAGTTAAAAGTTAAATTATTTTTTGAAAAAGTAGAGGCATATTGAATGAAATCGAAATAAAGATCTACGGACAAAAGCAGTAGATGTGTTGGAAACTGCACTGAATAAACATGCAATTTATTTAAATTACAAAAGATTTACATCGTTTAGAATACAATAGCGTTAAAGAAATCACATTTAACATTTTGTTCGTTATAAAAAATGTTTTGGCTTTCCTCTGATGAAGAACTAAAAACCATATTGAAATTTGATTTTCAAATAAAAACAAAGGTAGCTGGGCCAAAAGCTCGCTCCTATTAAATAAAAAGGAAATTTACCATGAAAAGAATTGTTTTTGCCTCCCCTGATAGAGAACAGTTACTTAAAATAGTGTTGAAATCGGATTTGAAATAAAAACCGCGAGTTTCTGCCAACATGGCCGTCTATAAGTTCGAATATATGCAAAGTTATTCAACAAAGCATTCCATTTCTTTTCTTCTCGTCAATAAGAGTTCAGAACCATAAAATTCAATCAAAGCCACTTGCCAACAACACAACGCTGAGCAAAGAAGAATTATCTCCTTTCTTTTAGTCATGTTTTTGTCTGCTGCAGAAATCTCAAAATCCAAAGTCAAGTCTTCTCGTCGATTTTGAGGATTTCGTTGACATTAATGTCATTCACTAACTCCTGTTCAACGAAAAGGAGAATGAGAGCAGAGAATCGTGGCTGGTCATTGTAGAAGAAGTTTAGAAACTTGACAATGCTCATTTTAGAGAAGTTCGTTCAGCAGATGCAAGAAGTAACAGGAATTGTGGCCAGTCCTGTGAAGACGCGTGAGAGGCCAGGAAAATTTTTGTTGTTGTTTTGTTTGCCAATCAACAGAAGGGGGCCCATGGCCCCTTGTGCCCCCCTTAGCTACGCCAGTGCATGTCTGAATTGTATAACGTACATTGTATAGACAATCGTGGTGGGCGCCATGTGTAAGAATTGTGGTAACACTGTATACAGAATCGTGATACATTGTATAACAATGACGTGATAACATTGTATAACAATCATGGTAACATTGTATAAGGACCAGTACACACCGCCGTACACAAACTTCTAGAGAGTGAAAACAGACTGCGAGAGGAGTTATGCGAACCGTAAATCCAACCATAATCATTGCTCGCGCACGCGGCTGCTCTAAATCCCACTCGCGTGATTCCGCATCGCATCCCCAACATCCTTCTCTCTCCCTGTTCTCCTCTCCGTTGCGCGCCGCCAACAAGAAACAGCAGAACAAACAAACAAGTTGAAACAGACAACAACAACAACAATAACAACTACGATGACGACGATAGGCACATCCGCCCCTCCGTACAGACAGAACTCACAGATGATTGTAATAACAACTCTGCGGTCAGGCAAGGAAGCTAACCGACTCTCTGTGGCATAAAAGCCGAGGTTCGCGCACGCACAGGCGCAAAAGACTCGTGCACAGTCACAGAGTCAGGATGCCGGTGTTGCTACGAGAGCATTGGTTTGTCTCAAGATCGTGCAGCGAGCTCCTTTATGTGCACGCGCGCATGCGTGTACATACACGCGGGCGTGTACGCTGCGGCCTGCGTACAATAGGTGCACGTGAGTGTATCTGCGGCTGCACAGATGCAGCATGACCGCATGCGTGGCATGTGTATGTGCGCGCACGTGTGTATGTGCGGTAAGAGGTGTATGTGCACGCAGCGCGTGTATGTGCAACGCACGGTGTATGCACCGGTGTAGTCACGCACGCGTGTACGTGCGCGCCATGCGTGACGCGCACGCATGCGTGTACTGCACGCACGCGTGTATGCGCACGGCATGCGTGTATGCGCACGCATGCGTGTACGCGCACGCATGCGTGTACGTGCACGCACGCGTGTATGTGCACGCATGCGTGTACGTGCACGCACGCGTGTACCTGCCACGCACGCGTGTACGGGGTGTGTGTGTGGTTAGGTAGGGGTTAGGGTTAGGGTAGGGTTAGGGTGAGGGTATATATATATATACCCTTCCCCTATATATATATATACCCTAACCCTAATATATATATATATATATATATTATTATAGGGTATAGGGGGTATATATATATAAGGGTTAGGGTATATATATATATAGGGTTAGGGTATATATATATATACCCTCACCCTAACCCCTACCCTAACCCTAACCCCTACCACCCCCACACACACACCACGTACACGCGGTGCGTGTAGGGTTAATATATATATATATATATATATATATATGTATATATATATATAGGGTTAGGGTATATATATATATATAGGGTTAGGGTATATATATATATATATAGGGTTAGGGTATATATATATATATATATATACCCTAACCCTATATCCAACGCCCCACGCGTACGCTCGTGGTCGACGCTGACCGCTCGATCGAGTCGCGCCAACTCGCAGTCGTCAGTGTAAACGCGCTGCACACAGTTCATAGAACGGTTGATAGAGATCACGGTGCGAGGTGCAGAGATGCAGGGTGTCAGTGTGGTCACGTAGTATAAGTTACAGACGGCTGGTCAGCACTCACTGAACTCAGCAGTAGGCGACGTGGCGGCAGCCTAGCTTACGATATGATCCCGTATCCGTCCGCCCCCCCCCGCCGCCCCCCCCCCCGCCCCCCCCCGCCCGCCCTCCTCGTCCCCCTCTCTCTTTATCTCTCTCTCTCTCTCTGCTCGTCGTCTCGTCTCTCCTCTCGTCTCTCTCTCATCTCTCTCTCTTCTCTCTCTGCTCTCTCTCTCTCTCTCTCTCTCTCTCTCTTCTCCTCTCTCTCTCTCCTCTCTCCTCTGTCTCTCTTTCTCTCTCTCTCCCCTCATCTCTTCTTCTCTCTCTGCTATCTCCTCTCTCTATCTCTTGCTCTCTCTTCTCTTCTCTCTCTCTCTCTCCCTCCCTCTCTCTCTCTCTCCTCCTCTCTCTCTCTCTCCTCTCTCTCCTCTCTCTCTATCTCTTCTTCTCTCTCTATCTCTCTCTCTCTCTGTCTCTCTCTCTCTCGCTCCCTCCCGAACTTTCTCTCTCTCGCTCTTCAACCCCTCTCCTCCTTCTCTCTCTTCTCTTCCTCTCTCTCTCCCTCTCTGCTCTCTCTTCTCTCTCTCTTCTTTAGTCTTCTCTCCTCTCCCTCTCTCGCGCTCTCCTACCTTCGCACCCTTCTCTCTCTCTCCCCGGCATTCTCTCCTCTCTTTCTCCTCCTTTCTCTGCATCTCTCTTCGTCTCTTCATCTCTTGCTCCCTACTCAGTGCTCTCTCTTCCTCGTTTGCGACCTAGTAGGCAGTAATACTACACAGGCACTGCAAAGATCACACGGAGTTAACATAACGCAAGATCATTCAATACATTCATGTCCTGATTTGTATAACGTACATTGTATAAAATCGTGGGCCCATGTGTAAGAATTGTGGTATAACTGTATAAGCGAATCGTGATAACATTGTATAACAATGACGTGATAACTTGGTATAACAATCATGGTAACATTGGTATAAGGACCAGACACTACCGCGTACAAACACAAACTTCTAAGAGACGGAAAACGACTCGAGGAAGGATCTTATGGGCAACCTAAATCCAACGCATAATTCATTGGCTCTTCAGCTGCTCACCGTCTCTAATCCACACTCGCTGATGCCGCATCCGCATCCCACAGTCCTTCTCTGTCTCCCCTGTTCCCTCTCCCGTTGCCGCCGCCACAGCAAGACAGGCAGAACACACAAACAAGTTGAAAAACAACAACAACAACAATAACAACTACGATGACGACGAATAAGGCAAGCTCCCGGCCGCCCTCTCGTACAGGCAGATCCTCACAGATGATTGTAATAACAACTGCTCCGGGTCAGAAGGAAAGCCTAAACAACGACTCTCTTGGCATAAAAGCCGNACACACACACACACACACACACACACACACACACACACACACACACACACACACACACACACACACACACACACACACACACACACACACACACACACACACACACACACAAA